GACACGAGAACATACGACTGGAAGGATGTGCCTCTGTGGATCTTGTCAGTAGTGGTGGGTGTGAGTGAGGATGTGAATGGGGTGTCGGTGTGAATAAAGAATAAATCCCCACCCATACCCACATCCATCCACACTATTTATTGGCCAACGAAAGCCCAGGATTCAACATCTCCTTGAAGGGCTGTGAGAGGACTTCCACATATACACATCAATCGATAGAGCGTCCCAAAGAACGCTAGGATCGGCCGGAACATGAGTAGTGCATGTGCTTACAATAAGAAAGAAAAGTCCTCCTGAAAGGAGGGGGTCGATAAGCGATGAAATCTGGCCTCTTCCGTAAATCGACTTTTTCTAAACGAAGCCACCATATTAGCTGTCCAACAGCGTTCTGTGATAGAATTAGTCAAATAGAGCTTGTTTTTGCTATGAACAGGTTCAGCAACTTATTCAATGAGCTTTGCATTAAGAAGGATTCTGGCTTTTGATAGTAACCGTCTCGTTTTATCCACACAATGTATGACCAAGTAGCTATATTTTTGTATGGTTGGATAGCAATTTTTGAGAGCTTTAAAATGCTATAAAAACATTGACGAATAAAAATTGAGCAGTACAGTTTGATATGGAGAAGATTGAACCACATAGTCATTAAATGTCTCAAAAATCGAAGATATCTTCTGAAAGTTCCCATCACTATGAATCAACTGTATTGATCGCCAGGCTAGTTTTCATATGGTTAATAGGACTTTTGAAGAGCTTCAAAACTGTATAAAAAATATTCAGGAAGAAACACTGGTAAAACATTGAAATCCTAAATGAACTGCTACCGGATCGCGATTGTGAGCTTTTTTTCACTAGAAAAGAGCCGTTTTCAGTTGAAAGATTTTCAATATGATAGATAATAACATGATACTCTGAATCAGAATTAAAAACTGAGTAGATATAATTCAGTTTTAGCCCCATTACCTGACTTTCAATTTTCTCGGAAAATTCACCCCTACTCCCCATCAGGTATATACCTAAAAATGAGTTTCATCAAAGCTATACTTTTATCGCTTCGTGATATGCTGTTCAGAGATCGAATGTCATATTATTACCTTAGGACTTGATTTACGTAGCCAGATTGCATTTTTCAATCTGTACCTGAGGGGAGTAGGGGTGAATTTTTCGAGAAAAGTGAAAACCAGTCAATGAGGCTGAAATTGAATTAGATCTACTCAGTTTTTGATTCTGATTCCGAATATCATGCTACTATCTATCAAATTTATAAATTTTTTATCTGAAAAAGACTCTTTTGTAATAGAAAAAGGAGCAAAATCATGACCAGAAAGTAGTTTCGATAGGATTTCATTGGTTGGCCAGTATTTTTTCCTGAATGCTTTTATATCATTTTGAAGCTCTTCAAAATTCGTATCAACTGAATGAAAATTGGCCTGGCGGACAATACGGTTGATTCATAGTAATGCAAACTTTCAGCAGCTATCTTTTATTGTTCGGACATTTAATGATTATGTCGCTCAATGTTCTGCATATCAAATGGTGCTGCTCTATTTTTACACGTCAATATTTTTATAACATCTCAAGGCCCTCAAAAGTTCCTATCTACCCATATAAAAACGAAGCTGCTTGATCATGTATTGAATGAATAAAAGGAGACGTTTACCATGAAAAGCCAGGACCATTTTAACGTCAAGTTCATTGAATAAGTTACTGGACCTTCTCATTATAAACACAAGTCATATTTGACTAATTCTATCACAGAACGCTTTCCGACACTTGACATGGTAGTTTCACTTGGATAAAGTCAAATTTCTCAAGGGGGCAGATTTCATCGCTTATCGACCCCCCTCCTTTGATTGGTCTAATATTGACAAATTGAGTTGCACATATGACCATGAATCCTTCCCTGTTTTGTTTCGCCTGGTTCGTTGAGATAAATATCTCTGCAAAAGTCGTGACTCTCTTTCTAAAATCCAACTCAAATACATTCCGGTAAGTACCTCTCATCTATCCCTTCTTTCTAGTCCACATCCAAAGTTCTCACTCATGAGCAACGCAGGGACCCCACATATACCCATCAATCGATAGAGCGCTCCCAAAAACCCTAGGATTGTCAGGAACATGACTAATACATATGCATATAATAAGAGAGAAAAGTCATTCTGAAATCTGACTGTTTCTTTTTACTGACTAATGAAAGTCTAGGGTGTGCAACGATTGTTTTATTAAAAAAACATCTTTACAGATCTTTTTGAGACCATAGTTTAATTGTAAGGTTTTTTTGGACTGTAAAGATTGTTTTAATAAAAAAAGATCTTTAAGGATCTTTTTGAGACTTAACTCTAATTTTACAGTATTTTTAGGACTGCAGCAAAGAATTGAGGAGATTGGGCTCATGAAAGATCTTTCAGGAGTAAAGTGACATCCTACCGATGAGGACCGAATACGGTTTGTTTTCGTTGTGGTTCCTGTGAGGTACGGTGTTTTCTTTTAGCGTTTCCGGCCGGCTACTGTGTTTTCCGTGCAGATATAGCATGATTTCCGATTTTTTCTGGTGAGGGGAAATTTTTCAGAATAGGGTGATTCCGATTCGAACACTTTTCGGCCGGAATATTGCCACCCTGTTCTGGTGTTTTTCCGGTCGTCTCCGGCGGGAAATACGCGGGAATCGCTTGGAGTTGGGCGGGAAATGCGACGTGTCCTGCTGGATCCGGAGGCCGGAATCGTTGACCTGGGTATCTATTAAGGAAAACTGCGGTAGCACAGGTTGCAATTGTACACAGTTACTAGGGGTGTCGAGGGGCATTGGTTTCAATGACACGGTATTTCTTATACTGGTTGGGTTGAGAAAGTATTGCAGACTATTCCAAAACATGATTCAAGTGTTTTCTGAGGATCTTATCCATTGCTGAAAGCTCGAACATCACACAATGTTCATATGCAAAGTCATCACTTATTTGCACAGACGAATTATCAAAATAAGTACGCATCCAGAAAAAATTATTCGTGACACATCCATATTACCCCAAAAATGGGAGCATAGCATGATTTGTAATTGTTACCAGTTAGTAGAGCTCGTAAAACCACAATTTGGGTATAACGTAAAATGCAAAATTAGTGGCAGAAAATGTTGACCTCTTTTTCTCCTTGACAGACAGGTGCTGAAAGAAAATCTTTTTTTACCAAGAGATAGAGCTTTTTCTACTCTTTTGAATCGTATATAGTTAATTATTTAACACATTTGTATATGGAACGACACCATAAAAAAGAGAGACACCGTCAAAACATCTCCGTACTTTAGTTGACAAGAAATTTTCATCTTCTCCGAAGGATGTGTGATTTATATTTGTCATACATTCGTAAATGGAATGAGAGGACTAAGAAGAAAATATATTTGCACAAAACACTTACAATTTTTGTATGATTCAGTCAAAAAAGTCCTGTGTATAATATTTAAGTACAATTATCTATCATTTTACAAGCTGCTTTCAACGATTTCATAAAAGCCGAAGTAACTACAGCTTTACAAGGGTTTTTTGATGAGTGTGGAAAGATCAACTTAATTTTCATCTAGCAAGATGTGTTTGACGAATTCTTATAAAAGTTGCAAATTTATTGTGCCAGTGTCTTTCTTTCTTCTTTTACTCATTTCACTCCCGAATGGGTTATGAGGATAAAATTTCCTATCAACTGATCACTAAATTCTATCTTCAAAACCTATTTATAGGAGATTTATCTAAGAAATAAAGGAATCAATGTCTTCTGCTGTTTTTGAAAATTCTACAAAAATCCGGATATGTTTTGAGTGTGTCTCTCTTTTTTATGGTGTCGTTCTGTTTATAAATGTGTAAAAAAAATTAACTATCTGTGAATTGAAAAGAAATAGGGATCATCATTTTGTACCATTAGTTTTGCATCATATGGGATTTCAGGTTAATTTGAACAGTTGCATGAGTGAAGCGACGCAAGAGATACTACCTCCATTAACACAATAGGCTCAGAAGTTATTAGTAACTCTGTACACGAGCTTTCTATGATATTTTGCTTATCACCATTGGATAGAGCTCCTCAAATAGTACCTTGGAACATATTTTAGATTGGTTGAAACACTTTCACAGGCGAATTCGATCAATAAATTTCAGAGTGATATGGCAATTGCGACTGATAGTTTGATAATATCTTGAGAGCAGTTGAACCTATCGAGATTTGATTTTCACCATTAAATAGAGCTGTTAAAGTTTCACTCGTAGGCCAATTCAGATTTCTTAGGATATTGTATAGGATGAAACGGCTTTGGGAAAAATGATATGTGCAAAGTGTTTTTAGACTTTTTCTCAAGTACGATTGTTTGTATCGAGATATGGTATCAATCATTCGGCAGAGCGCATCGAACTGCACACTTGGAACATAAATAGTTTTGTTGAAACAACGTCTCAGACTAGTCGACCCAAAAATTTACCTTTTCTGAAAGCTATTATCATAGAAAAAAAATATATTAATTATGTTATATCTCTGTTATTTGAATATATGAAGAGGAGTAGCTTTTAACAGTCGATGTAGCTCATCGAATTCTACTGGGAACAACAAATAATCCTGTTGGGACAGTTTTCGGAGCGAATAAGCTCTAAATATACTTGAATCTGAAGGTGGAATAACATTCGTATTTCATGATATATGTATTTGTAATATTCAGTTGCTATCATCGAATAAATTTCTTACATTAAGTGAAAGTCTTCAATTCTGAAGATGTATACTTGTTTTTTGAACAAAAAAGCGATAACTCTGTTTAGTAATTTGGTTTATGATTTATGTAAGAGAATAATTCCGACTACAGACAGAAATCATCCAATAATAAGACAAACGATCAAAAAACTGAAAACATCCTGCATCTCAACTACGATACCTATCTTTTTCTTTGATGTAGATACAAAACAAATAATTCTGATTGTTTTTATTCAATTAAAATATTAAGATCACGCTTGTGTTGATATTTCTAAATATTTATGGAAGTTGAAAGTCCTAGACAAGATGAATCACGAACAAGTCAGATTCTGCCTCCAAGTTCAACTAATCAAGTAAGAAAGTAAAAAGGCCTCAAAATAAACTCGTTTAATTTGATATATGAAGGATATGTCCAGAGCTCCTGTTTCAAATTTATTCGTTGATGCTTGCAGTTTAGCTCGAATGGGTCAATATGAAAAAGCCAAAACGGCATTTCTGCATGTTGAACAGCATTCTGATGAGTACGGCAAAGCTCAATACTTACTTGGATGTGCTTGTAACAAATTGGATGAATATGATGAGTATAAGGAAGCCATCGGCGCTTTTAATAAAGCCATTGAATTTTTCACAAAACTCGGCCGAAACATTCCCATTGATCTATATTATGAAATAGGTTTCGCACAATGGAAAATTGGTGCCAATAAAGATGCGATTAAGAGTTTTTCGAAATTTATTCGGAAAAAAGGAACCGAAGATACTCATTATGGATATTTAAGTCGAGCTCTGGTTTACTGCACAATGGGTCATTATAAAGAAGCATTATCCGATTTAAATAAAGCAAATGAAAATCAAGAAAACCAAACTACATATTCATTATGTTGGCGAGGACGAACATTTGCCCACCTTGGGCAGTATGAAAAAGCGAAAGAAGATTTTCAAAGAGCTTCACGTATCCGTGCTCAGGATTTCCAAAGTTATCTTCAATTGGGTATTGTTTATAGCGAACTTGGACAATATTCTGAAGCGCTCGAACAGTTTAATTATGCATTAGAGTCTCAACCGCAAAATCAGCATAATCGTGCTGAAGTATTCTTTCGTCAAGCACTTGTTTATCAATTTCTTGGAGATTCCAATCAGGCCACAAATAAACTTCATGATTCTCTTCGTCTAAATCCAAAGCATGCTCGAGCTTATTTTCGTCTTGCACGTATGTATCTCGCCGAAAATAATTATTTAGACGCATTGGAAACTTTGAATACAGCTCATAAAATTGCTCCACATGACAAAGATATCATATATGAACTAGGATCGTTACATGAACGAGTTGAGCGTTTTAATATTGCTCTCCATGAACGACGGCGAGCTTTCGGATTGCAAAAATCAGAACCATCTCTTTCAGATGAGACGGTTTCTGTGTCAGAAAATACTTCCACACGGCCTCCTTCCTCAACTGTAGACAAAGAAAAGTCTATGAATCCTCGTCTTTTATCAGCTCTCAAACAAGAAGAATTACTATCGGTGGCAGAGAACTTTTCTGTTTCATATCATAAAATATTAGAAACATATCAGTTGGCTATCGACAAGGATAATTGTCCAGAAGCACGAACATTGATGGCTTTGTGTCAAGAATCACAGAAAGACTTTAGTGATGCTTTGGATTCCATGGAAAAATTTTGCAACGAATATCTAACAGACCCAAATGCTAAACAGTCATGGCGTAACTTTTTGAAACAGTTTAAAACCGAACGAGACTCTGGTCGTGAGAGTCGATTGGTTACCCATCGATACACAGTTCTTAAACGTATTGCAAAAAATCTAATCGATATTGAAAATGACCATACGCTATTTAAATCGGACCCTTCTGGGAATCTTCGAATCTTTTATGATGCTCTTCGACGACGACTGGGTCAAAGTTTAGTTGCTTTTTCGATGACTGGAGGTGATACATCAATTGTAGCACACAATCTCAAGGGTTCACTCAGCACGTATGTTGCATTTTGTCGGTCTGACAAGCATTTCTGATTTCTTCCTAAGTTCAAAATCAAACTTTGCTCTCACCAAAGATGATTTTTTAAAGCAATTTTTCGTCTTCTAACCCGTACGTTGTATATAGCCTTTCTGTATTGATGTTAAAATACACTTTTTCATTCTATTGGTAAATATTCAGAACGTGATTTCTTCTTAGCTCTAGTAAATATAGCGTTTGTTCATTCGCAAGAAAGTAATCCCAATGAGGCTTCAGTGAAATTCTACAATGTGTCTCTTCCCAGCAGTGGGTTATTAAATGAGTATCATATTTTCAGATAAGCACTATCATGTTGCTAAATGTTTTAGCGTGGCAGGGATACTCAAATATCTGGGCAAAGGTCTGAAATATGTGCCTGTTGCTGGTGAATATTTAGATACAGCGCTGGACGTCGGTTCGGACTTTCTTTATGGAAAAGACTACGACGCAATTCAAAATAAATTATCCATTTTCAATACTATGGGTGATCATACGGAATTTTCTTCGGCAGCTCGGAAAATAGCCTTTGAAATAACTGACCGATACAAGAAGCAACTTGTTCGTCTTGCTACAGAGCCTACTGATCCATCTAATGGATCAAAAATAATTCATTCTATGAAAGAACAATTATATGAAAAGCAAGATAGTAATCGACCGGCAGAACGCGTAGCGAACTTTGCAGTCAAGTATGTGATTGAAACGATTCGCGATAAGGATCTAAAGAAATTAGGTTTCACATTGAAGCCTAAGACAACGATCGACGAACTGCCTGGTATCCTTACTAATATTATTTGCTCTGCAAAAGCGAATTTAAGACGTTTTTTCTTCAAGTTTGCCAAAATTGATGTCGACGATAAGTTACTAATTCAGCCGAAGTCATCGTCAGAAACACAGGCAGAGCATTGGATTCTTTATGATTTTTTTCGTGCTCCGGGAATCGAAGTATCAGACAATAATAATTCTCAATGGTGTGAGGCCAAATGGATGAAACCTGAATTATATGGATATCGAAGTGGAACTCGAGTAGAAATTGACAGTATTAAAGGCGAGATCACGGAAGCCGAAACTAAAAAATGCTTTCCAAATAAATCTTGAACTATGACTTCACATTTCTTTCTAGATATTTTTTAGATAATTGTCAATTATGAGTAATCGTCGTTATAAATCAGAGTAAAGATTGTACTGTATAGATTCAAAGATAAAACGAATCAAAATAATTTAGATTTCTTTCATGGAAAAGCCCATATCAAGATCCCAGATTACCAATGTGGGTGAATGATCAACTTACTGTAGAATGTTCTTCAAAAGCCTATTGCGTATGTACAACTTTTATATTGGATTGATAAGATCTTGTGCGTTCGATCTGTAATAGACGTATCACCGTGATCGTATTCGATTACCAGATAAATTCAGTACGAAAAATCAGCATCATGACATAGACGTTGGTTATTGAACTACTTGTTTTTGTCATTCTCTCAACAGATGTTTTTTATTTTTGAAGAAAAAACAACGACATGATACAAATCTGAGTTTGCGTGATAGTCGGCTTAAAAGAGTTAGTAAATGTTATCAGCGTTATCTTTTTTTGTTCAATGCTGATTATTCAACAGGAAATAACGCGAGAAATGCAAGCTACGATACCAGGAAGTTTCAAGATTTGTATTCCAATTCGTATGACGTCTGCGCCTGCTAAGTAAGACAAGAACACAGGGTTTCAATATATAGTTTTAAATTTTTAGTTCGAAACCAGTAGCAACAGACGATAAAAAGAATAAACAACTGAAGAACATGCAAAGACAATTGGAAAAAATGAAAGCTAAAATAAAGCAGCAAGATAAACTTATCGAACGGTTACAACAGCAGCTTAAGAAAAATAAAGAAACAAAACCTTATGTAACAAGAAATGTTATTCCAACAATGCCCTTTGTGGAAGATCCACCTGGAATTGAACTTCTTGAAACTGTTTGGGAATAATTCTATACCTAAAACTAAGTTTTTAAAAACCATGGAAGTTTATATAAATTACATAATTAATATGTAAAGGGACATTTTCAAACACAAACATAATCCATCATTAAAATAATACTTTTCTATAACAGGGCTTTAGGGTGCAGTAAAAAGACAACTCACACCCACATCCTATATTTGTCGATTCACGATTTACACGAAATGTCAATAGCTTATAAATAGCTATTTTCATCGAAATCATTCAAATCATAAAAAAAGTATTCATTTGGTCGCCAAAAAACGTGTTACTGTGGATGGGTGTGGGTGTGGATGTTGAATAAGATTTAGAGAACACCTATACCCATGTTCACACCCACACCCTCCTAAATGAAGGAGGAACTCATCGTTAACCAAATAAATCAGAAAAAATTTCATTTATACAATTAATAGAAAAAGGTTTATGTAAAAATAAATCATGTATTTTGTGAAACTGACGTATACTTTTGAAGAAAATAGTGAGTGTCAGGTTTAAGTTCAAGTTGTCGCAGTTGGTCTCCTTCCCATTACATACCTCAGCAGCCGAGCACAAAAGGCTTTAGGTTCTAAACAATATTTCAATACTTTCATAAATATTTGAAAAGAACTATTTTGCAATTGATAAATGATGCATTAGGATAGCAAGTTTGAAGAATATACGTGAGTTCCACATTTTAGCTTCAAAGGAGCTACACTAACAAACTTTTTTTCTTATTGATAATAGCAGTCGCCTATTCATTGTCGTTTTTTTGTTGTTGTAGGGTGTGTTTTTTTCTGTACATACACACTCACTCTTGTAATTTTATTTTAATTCAAAACAATACTAAAATTCTTTCATTTACAGAAAAAGTTGATGAAACTTTAAATTTTCATAATTCAGGTTAGATTTAAATGAATTTTTTTCGCATTCGAATATATTTTTTTTATTCAGGTGAAAATTATAAAAGTGAAGGTTATGTGATGACATCAAAAACACTTGATCTTATGCGAGACCATTTAAAACAAACTGATGATTAATTTATTCTATCTCTTTTTTTTTTCTTGTTATAATGAAGTTAATAACACGATTTTCATCTGAATCTAATGAAATTTTTACATATTGATCATGCAAAAGCAATTAATTTTAATTTTGGCCATGCGAAAATAAATAATGGAATTTGTTATTTACGTTATGATGATACAAATCCTGACAAACAAAAAGAAAAGTTTTTTACTGGCATTATTGATATTGTCATATGGCTTGGTAACATTTTCATATTTAAATAAATTTCTTAAGAAAAATAAATATATTTTAAATCTAGGTCATGAACCTTATAAAGTAACTCGTGCATCTGATCATTTTAATCAATTATATGAATGGGCTGAAGAATTGTTTCGTCGAAATTGGCTTATGTATGTCATCAAAAAAGTAAAGAATTAAAAGGACATAATGTTTCTGAAGGGTGTGGGTTGTGGGTACACGTTGTAGAAGTGCATCCACATCCACATCCACCCTGTTGAAAGATTCTGATGTACATTTATATGATAAATTGTATACTTTGCTTAAATATAACGACTAAAAATAATGATTTATGCCAAAATAATGGCGATTTCTAATATAAGAGTGATCAACTGTGCCAGAAACTGTTTTTTGTATAATAAACATGCTCAATGGTATCAAATAAATGGTCACCTGTCCCATGAGAATGGTCATTTGTACCAAGTGTTACAGACAACTAGCCAGATCGACAGACAGGCAAAGGTGAATTTCGGTTTCTAGACCCTATGCTTTCAAAATAGAGAATATGACATAACCGCTTTATTTCAGTGCTCTATATCATATTGAAGGAAAACTGTTATATCATATATTTAATCGACAATAAATTTTCATGCAAAATATGATAGTAGAACACAGATGCCACCAGTGATAGATCGTATTCTTTAGAAAAAATATTCCTATTATTAATCGCACAAAAATTTTAAGATATGTTTTCTATATTGTTTCAAGAATACTCTTCTAACCAACGATTGTTTTTTTCTTTTTTGCATTAAAATAGTATTCGCTACTGTTGCATTGATGAGTGCCGTATATGTAGAATAAAGTTGTTTACTAACTGTATATGGCACAAAACAATGTTAAAATTAGGATTTTTCGTTGATATCACCAAAAAATTTGACGTATTTTAGGGACATAGTACAAGACACTTCCTTTAACTTGTGAACAATAAGGCAGAATAGAAGACCCGGAATCTTTTAATGCGTCGAGGGCTTTATCTAGTCCAAATACAATTATATCCAATTTGAACCATCTCTTTACTGATTTAAAGATATCCAATGATATTCGAAAAAGAAAAACTTGTATTTTATGCAGAAAGAACTTATATGATAATCAAACAAAATGTGATGATTGTTTGATGGATGAATATAAACATGGTACTCATATACTTGATAATGATATTTCGTTGTTATTGATCAGTTTCGTATCTCGATTAGTATATGAAATTCGAAAATATAAAGACTGTTTTTCATATACAATTGATGAACAACCCTATGATATTTCATTTGCTAAACAATAAAAACAATTAGTAATTACATACTCCGGAAAGAATCTTTTATCTTCATTCACGTTCATTTTATTATTTCGAAGAAATTGTTGTTCGTAAATTGTTTTGGAATCTAGTTCAAGTAAATAACTTTTCTTTTTGTTTTAGAAATAGACATAGGAAGTAAAAGATTTTTGTCTAAATAACTCAGATGTATTTGTTGAAAGAAAGAAAAACTTAATGAAAATAAAATAAGAACCGATGCATAAAGGAGAAGAACGTAATATGACCAAAAATATTGTTCCAGTTCGTTATTCTGTAGACAATAATCACCTTCCAGTTTTTATTTTATTTGACTATAAAGAATTAAAATA